TTATGAATCTGCAGCTCATTGGTTTTAGGGCATTTATGTTCTCCTAAGCTCCAGGGAGAGGAAAAATCATTGTTTATTCTCTGTATGTCAAACCTACAAACTACAGTCGAAGTCAGTATGTTCCTTAGTTCTCACTGGGCTTGTCTGTGGCTCAGAATTTTAAAGCACATGTTTCTGTTTTACTGGGTGCAGCAGATTTTAATCTATTTTACAGTCCAGCTTAAGCTGTACTTTTAATGAAAGCATGTGGTAGCAAGTTTATAAACTTTATTTTACCGCAGAACTTCAAAGTAGGTGATTTTTTTTTTTTTATTGCAGATCAGTAATCGATGGAAGTTGATGAGTCAGGTACAAGAGCAGAAGGAATCCAAGGAGGAGACCAAAAAGAAAATAGCCCAGCAGTCAGGTAGAGCAAATCTTCACTTCCTCGCTGAGTTGTGGTCTTTTTAAAGACTTGAACCTTCTCTCCTGTTAGCGTATACACTTGGAGTGCCTTCATGGAAGTCTCTTTATCCAAGGCTCAGTCTAAGCAAAATCCTTTCTGGAGGAAGTTGGATTCTTCTCTAGCTCATTTCTGTGAYCAGCATTGACTGACATGAGGTGCAAAGTATTTGTCTTCCATGTTAGAATTTCTGTGGCAGCCTTAGATATTTCTCTGCAGAAAGGAAAAGAGCAGGACTGCAGCTGTAAATGTGCGTGACAGTCCTTGCAGCTCACTGTGCTAATATTGGCCTTGCTGCAGCACCACAGATGGACCCCCTGGGGCTGGCAGACCAGCACGGTCCTTTTTGTATGTCCARCTGGCTGATGTCTACTGCTGTCGAAGCCGAGGGGCTAATAAGGCAGCAGCACAAGCTGCCCTCCAGGTGGATGCTGTGTATCCTAACACACACCTCTGCTAGGGTGTCTCACCCCCTTGTTCAGCAGTTGTTTGTTGCTCGTAAGAGCAGTTGGCTGAATTTCGGGTATTCCAGACCGCCTCTTTCCAATTTCCTCACCCTCATAAAAWTAATTCATGAACTCTGAGGGCTAGAGCGTGAGTGTTGAGATGTTTCATATAAATCTAAAAGGCCCCTTGAAATTATTGTGCTGGTTAGCTTGCCTTTCTCAGTTCAGATAGGTTGTTTCCCAGTCATCCTAAGATCACCCAAGATGATGAATTTCTTGATGGATGACATTCTGTTTGACAGAGATGGTGCTGTGTTCAATCTGAGACTTGCTACAACATGATTTGCCTACTTTTTCTTTTAAAGCTTGTGGCTAATGTGCTCTTGCTTTTTACAGTAATGCTTGTTTGTTTCCCTAGCTGCTCGTGACCAAGCACAGAAGGTGTATAAAGAGGCAACAGAAAACATTGTGTCTGTGCGTCAGCAAGCCGCGGTATGTCCCTGAATTCCCTGCTTCCTGCCAGCTTTTGCCTCTTCTCACCCTTTAAGATAGTTCACGATGAAACCCTGAGTCCCAGTAACACTGACATACTGTCCAAGCAGAAGGCAGCTGATTTCAGGTGACCTGAAYGATGGATCTGTCCATAGAACATTCAGTGTTTCTGGCCTGTGTGTAGCAGCAAGTGCCTAGTGACCGCAGTGTTCAAATCTACTGTGCAGTTCTCCAYATCCTTCCATGGCTTTGGAAGGCATCGTTTGTCCCTGCTGTATTTCCTTAACCCTCACTTTCCTACGTCCCCCATATCTGCCTGTGGGTCTACAGCAGATCTCAGTCTCTAGTATCTTGTGAAATGTCGGCTTTGCTTTTTTAATCTGGAAAATCACTGCTATGAGAAAAAGGCAATGTTGGCTCAAAGAAAACAGATCCCTTTCCCCTCCTCCCCGCTGCTCCAATGTTGCTCCAGGCACGAGCTGTCACCAGGACCCAGGTTAGCCAGGCAGTTCATTTGCATGCTGCTGTTCGTGCCTCCACAGCCAGGTTTCATTCCTGTCTCCTGAACTTGTCCTGTTCCCATTCTGCCTGTTGCTTTCACAGCAGGAACAAGCTAATAAAAAGAGGGAGAGAAACATAAGTGAAACAGGAACAGAGTTGCCAAAACAAGAGAAGAAGCGGCCAAAAGCCTCCCAGCAAGCAGAGGAGCTGGAAGCACCAAAGCAGTTCACTCCCTTTGATTACAGCAAGTCCAACTTCAAAGTGTTTGCGGGTAAGATCTGGATCTCCTGCTTGAGAGCTGCGGGCTGTGGAAAACACTGCTGGGCAGAGCTCTGAGAAGGCTGTGCGTGAATATAGATGCCAGTGCAGTACAAAGTGTGATATTGCATTTACCCTGCTTTGGGGGGAGATTAAAATAAATTAGCCTGGCGAATGGGCAGTTTAGCTTCCCTTTTCTGAGTTAGAAACAAAATCCTGAAACAGCCTGGAAGGGGTTAGTTTGTAGATGTGTATTATCTGGCTCTTTGCCCTGCAGAAGAAAGTCATMTATTTACCTGGGCACAAGGAGTTAGGAAGCAAAGGAGCTTTGACTCCTGTGCAATAAGCATCTATTAAAAAGGTTTTTCTGCCCTTTAGTGGCTGTTCTTGTTTTCAGCATGGGAAAAACAGTGAAACCTGCCAGATCACCAGAGGAGCACCATTGAACAGACTGTTCTTTATGGGTGGGTTTTTTTTTTTTTTGGTGAAAGCTTCTCTCTTCTTGCCCTTAGGAAGCAGCAAATCAAAGCAGTCACCCCAGTTCGACCCAGCCAAGCAGGCCTACACCGGCAAGGTAAGGATGCATCCTGAAACAAGAAACAGAAATGAAGCATGTACCCCCCGGGGACAACAGGACTTTCTGCATCTRCAGAGTGTACCTTAACAGGCACTTGGTACTGAGGGGCAGCTTGTAATCACAAGCTGATTTGTTGCCTTACAGCCTCTTCCCATTTGCAATGGGCTTTCTCAGGTCCCCTGAACTCTCTATTTCCCACCTATTTACTCATAGTTTGCACCTACACCCTGCTACGTCATGGGCACATCACTTACACCACCACACAACAGCAAAAGTTTCCCAAAGCAAACTCAAAGCTCCTTTTGGAGTCTCAAAAGAGAAAGGCAACCTAATGGTGTATTTGAGAGAACAGAGTTTTAAACAGATCCTTCTGTGAATGGATAAGATTGGTTATCAGTGGAAAATTTGTTAGCCCAGCAGAAGAGAATTTGTCATTTGGGTGTCAGCCTTGAATATTCTGTGATTCTGTGCATTCCATGCAAGGACATGTGAAGAGCATCCTGCAACACAACGCTCACCGTGTAAATGAGCAGTGCTCCTTCAAGTGGGAGCACCTGACAGGACTYGTATCACATGGAACATACTGCATTTGGCAACAGCCTCGTCCATGTGTTTGTTTTTCTTGCCTGCAGAAATTTGCTGGAGCCAACAAACTTCAGCAGTCGGCTGGAAACCGAAGCATGTCCTACCTGGCGGGRAGAGCCGATAGGTGCGTGGTGGCCTCGTGCTGCCGCTCTCGCTCAGGCCCTGGAGCCACGGGCAGAGCGCAGCTACTGCCCTTCACTGCCTGGCAGCTTAAGCGCACAGTTAATGTGCAGAGGTTGTGTGACACTTCGTAGCGAGGGTTATGCTTGCTACAACTTAGAGGAAAAAAGAGTTGTAAGTGATTTTGCGTTTAAGGCTTGAAATCCTGAGGTAAAAGCCTGAGTTCATGTACGTGGGAGTTGCTTTCTTTGTCCACAAAGATAGGTGGGGTGGGGAGAATGGGGTCCCGCCTGGGAGGAGAATGGTTTTGGCCAACCTGAACACTTGTATTCTGAGTATACACAGCTTGTAGCTCGCTGGGTTTAATTCTGATGAATTATTTAGTCATAAAAGAGCGATTCTGTGTTGGTGGGAGGGAGGTTCTGCATCGTGACTCTTTCTTAATAGAATCATTGTAACCTATCATAGCTTTTCAATCTCAAGAGTGAGTTTAGAGATTCAACGGGAGAGCTAAAGTCTTTCTGTAATGGTCTTTTACAGGGGCTCCAGGCACCACTGGCCAAAGAGATAGTCCTCGTTATGAGACCTGTGGGAGTTGCTGCTGAACAAAACAAGAATCAGAGCTATTGTCACCATGGGAAGGCAAATATCAGTCATCGCTCAGTTTTTGTACAGAAATCTTTTTAAACCCATTAAACTGCTTCTTCTCCAGAAGAAAAAAAATCTTAATTGGTTTGGCTTTTATTATGTTCACAATGCTTTGCCTAATTGAACTCAAAATGTTGTGTTTCTTTCTAATTTTGAAAGTTTACTCTGTGTCCTCAAATCCAGCTTGGTTAAACTGCTTGCTGCCTGGGTGCATGCAGTTCAGATCCAGAGTCAGCACTGAGTGGAGAAACCTCTTGGCATCTCCAAAGCCAGTTCAAAAACAATCGAGGGAAGCTGTAGATGCGACTGCAACGGCAGCACCCCGGAGGAGGAGGTACAGCCGAGCTACATCTTTTATGTTAGGCCTCGCTTACAAGTTGAGCTATGCAGCTTATCTTTTACAAGACAAAGTAATACAGAAAACAAGTTTTCAAGGCAGTATTTTTGTATTTTTAAGGAAAGATTTATGAAAAAGAAGAGTTCGAGTACTTTTTAAATTGGAGACCAGTACTTAAAGTTTCCCATAGCRCTTCAGAGTGAAAACTATGCTTGGGTAGAAGGTAGAAAGTGTGAGTGATGCTGAGGCCTCTGTAGGCAGAGCACTGGCCTGAACCGTGCCTCGAGGATCTCCACAGCCGCAGGGGGCCAGGGGCTAGCAAAGCTCCCGTGCAAGCGGCAGAGCTGCCCGCGTGCAGCTGGGAGCAGCCAGGGCAGCGGCAGCGCCGTGTCCTGGGCCGCTCGCCCGCGTTTTGGCCTCGTTTCGCAAGGCCTCCGCTTCGCCCCGTGSTTTCTGCTTCTGCACCAAGTTTTGCCGTTCTGTGCTCGCCTGTTTCCACARTGGGAGAACTGACTTCTCTGACTGCCAGCCCAGGTGCAAGGGCTACGTGGGCAGTGGCAAAACTGCCCTCTCTGCATTTCACCAGCTACAAAGATGGTGAGTATTTCTTCTCTTTTCAGTCTTTTCCTGTATTTCAAGGGAGTAGGCAGTGGCAGGAACAAAGGGGTTTTTCTCCTTAGTTTCCTAGTCTGAAAACAGCCAAACAAGCAGTATCTTAATGGTGGAACAGAGTCCCTTTCTGCTTGTGAAGCCCATCTGTGTGGCTGAATATTGGAGAATGTGCTTGAAAAGAGGCCGTTGCAGTTAAATAGCAGTTTTCTTTAGGAGTATTTGCTGCGATTGCCAATTCTGCTGCTTTTCACCTCTGCCACTTCTGATATTTCTGTAACTGAAGAACTAGTGAAGCTACTAAAAGCCCCRTTGCTTGCAGAAAGGGTAGAATTTCCTTTCATAACCTCTAACTCCTAAAAACTTCAAGTTGTGGAGCGCGCTCCGCTTTGGATTGCTCCCTTTTCCAGGTGCCTTTTGCCGTTCCTGTCGGCTGCTGCGGTTTATGGAGCAGTCGAGGTGTGCTCAGCTCCTCCGCACTGGTTGCGCTGGTCCCGCAGCGCACAAACGGGCCCAGGAGCTGGTGCCAGTGCCCGGCTCTCCTGGAATAACCGAGGAAGGGCAGGAGCGCGGCCGGGCCGGAGCTGCGGGCGCTACCGTGGCCGGGGTTCGGGGCCTTTTCGCGAGGGGAGCAGCTTCCAGCGCACGGAGGGGCGGACAGGGACGCGCGGCGCCCCCGCGACAGCGGGGCCGTTGCTGCCGTTTCCCCGCCRAGGGCTGCGTCCTCCGCCGTTAATGAACTGAATTAACATCCTCGTGCGGACGGGGCTCCCGCGGACACGTGGGGGCCGCCGGG